ACCTCAAACAGTCAAACTACGAAGCTATTGACGCACTTTGGTTTCTTAATCAGATCTTTGAGAAGTTCCAGAGTCCAGACTTACTGCCAAGCAAGAAAATAAGATTGGTTTCTGCTTCCTGAACATTATATACATAGACGACTCCTGTCTCATAAGCGCAGATCAACAATTGCATCATATTTCATTAGCCTGCTCGGTTGCTCCACATGCCAAGCATACACCTGTATCAACAGCAGAGACGTAAAAACCTTTCCTGCACTTTTAAATCCAACTACATCCAGGTAATTTAGGATTGCATTTCTGCTTCATTATCTTCCGAACTCTGTCTGCATCATACCATTGGCCAACAGATGCATACATGTTTGACATAAGAGTATAATTTACAGGGTTTTCAGGCTCTAGTTCGAAGAGCTTTCCAGCAGCCCATTCTGCTAATTTGAAATGTCCATGAGCTTTAGAAGCTCGAACTAATGCTCCTAGTGCATTTAACTCAAGGGAAAAAGTTCCAGAGCTTAAAAAGCTGGAAGCCTCCTCTATGAGACCAGCACGCCCTAGAAGGTCAATAAGACAAGCATAATGCTCTGAGCTCGGTGTGATATTATACTGAGTGGTCATTAATCTAAAATAATAAAGTCCCTCTCTTATGAGACCACCATGGCAGCATGCTGACAGAATCCCAAGAAAGGAAATGTTATCTGGCCTTAGACCACTTGATAGCATCATCTCAAAGATCTCAATGCTTTGCTCAGCATGGCCATGAAATGCATGAGCACTGATAATTGATGTCCAAGTAATTAAATCTGGTTCTGATATGGAAGTGAAACATAGAGAGGCACTTGCTAGGTTGCCACAGTTAGAGTATGTGACTATTAAAGAATTAGCAACTGATAAATAGCCATCAAACCCAAGACTCATAACATAAGCATGAATTTGAGTGGTTTCGCTAAAGGCTGCTAGATTGCCACATGAGCTAATGATGCTAGCTAAAGTAAGTTCATCTGGTTTAATATTTCTCCTGAACATTTCTACGAAAAGTTTCATAGCCTCCTTACCATAACCTTGCTGCCCATAGCCTACAATCATTGTGTTCCAAGAAACAAGATTTCGGAAAACCATCCCATCAAACAACTTTCTCACATCCTTTACACTTTCATTCTTCACATACATATCAACAAGAGCAGTAGCCAGTTGCAGATCCAAATCAAATGATAATTTGATCACAAGTCCCTGAAGTTGTTTGCATAATTCACAACATCCACCCAAGTTACAAGCACTCAAAAGACTGGTGAAAGTAAACTCATCCCCTCGAATTCCACTTACCTGCATTGATCTAAAAACCCTGATTGCTTCCTCCATTAAACCATTCATTTTGTATGCAGAAACCATCACATTCCACGAAACCAAGTCCCTCGCCTCCATCTCATCAAACACAAATCGTGCATCATCAACTAACCCAAATCTTCCATAGAGATCAACAATGGCACTACCAACATAACAATCCAAACTCAACCCAACTTTCATAGCAAAACCGTGCAACTGTCTACCTATTGCAAGGTCACCCAAAACAACATTCGAGCGAATCAAAGCATTCATCGTTGTAGAATCCGGTTTCACCATTTCCAACAACATTCTCCTAAAGTAACAAAACCCCAATCCCACCCTCAAAACAGCCCCACTAATCATCGTATTCCACGACACAATATTTCTCTCAGTCATTTCATCAAACAGTTTGTCAGCATCCCAAAACTCCCCACATTTCACATAACTATATAAAATTTGATTTTGCAAATACAACCCTTTATAAAACCCTAACTTTATTACATGGGAATGAAGTTGCTTCACTTCACAAAAATACCCATAAATTGCAGATAATTTAAGCGCCAAAGAACAAAAAGAACGAGTCAAATGAGCTAATTCATACCGAGTTGACTCATATTCAGGCATCAAAACTCCGAGTCTTGAAATCCTAACATTAGAGTAAGATCGTACAAACGGTAAAATTAACGGAATTTTGAAATGGACGGTGTAGATTGAAGGGGGACGACACTTGGAAATCATAGATTAATCGCAATGAAAATGACAGTTAGAAAAAAATGGCGGGAAATTAAGAAATTTTAACCGCCAAAGAATCTGTGTGTTGCTTTCTGAAAATGTAAAGGTATAAATCTTAAAATGGATTTTGGAGTATCAAATTTGTCTATTTTTGAATTAAAGTATATAAAAAGGCAATCAAAGTATATAAAAATTAAAATATGATATTTCTTCAAAAACAAAAATTATAATATGATATTTGTTATTATAAAGTTTAATGCAAGTACTTAAAAGATTCCAAAGCAGTCCATAAATGTCGTTTTAATGAGCATCTGATGACAATTAAGTTTAGTAAATTAAGAAGGTATTTATGATTAACACGAAATGTATATCCAATTCCAAATGAACAAGCGATAAGGTTATATAATTAGATTATGATATTTGGTGATAAAAATTGGCAAAATATTGGATGTTGAATTAGCAACGTGTTTGGGTTTGATAGCTTGATTAGGTTTGACTGGTTTTAATTACTTGTTTAGGGTAAGTAGCTATCAAGCTTGTGCAATGCACGAATTTGTGTGGATTCATATTTCATTAGCTTTTGCGTACGAGGTTTGTAAGTGATGTATGTAACCCTATATAATAAATAGATTTTTAAAAGCGTAACGAATAAATTATGTGACAATTAGTGTCATTAAAGTTTAATTTATACTTCGTATTTGATACTTTCATTTTTAACTCCTTATATGTAAATATGGTTTTCATGTAAGATGAGTTTATGCCTATCGATTTTAATTATGTGTTTGTATGTTAAATTGCACATTAAAGGCAATTAAATAGATTGTGCAAATTTGTAAGGATGATAGTTGTGTGAGAAAAATAAAGAGTTGGACTTCTTAAGGGCAAGGTTACCTTTCAATTATTTCATTCTCACTACAAAGTTACAAGTTACAATTCTCATATTAACTTCCATACATTTTCTCCATTCTTTTATGAGAAAGTTTTGCGTGAGATCAGACTCACCGTGAGTCTAATATGTCTGATAATAATATTCTAATATCTGGCAATGATAATCTAATACCAAACAATAATAACCTAATATCCAACAATAATAATTTAATACCAAACAATAATAATCTTATATCTGACATTAATTTTTTTTAGGGCTTTAAGAGGAGCATTCTCCTTATTACTGTAGCAACCTAGAAATTTTGTTGTTGTTCATCTTGTTGTTGCATTTCCTTTAATTTTTCATCCTCGGGCTCTTCCTTCATAACGACCGCTTTTCCGGCGAACTCGTGAGTTGACTCGGTCTTATAGACTTTATACTCGTGCAAGTCAATTGCTCCCCAATACTGATTCCATCGGCGATTCTGCATCGCTGGAAAATTAGAATCTCCCGTCGCCGGAGTATTCTTCGCGCTTGAAGATGACAACGTCATTTCAGATGATTTCGATGCATTTGACGAAGAAATTATATTTTCGACCAGAATCTCGGAACCTTTGAGAAATTATATTATTGGTCATTGGTGGCTGGAGGTGCGGGAGAGGAGGTGGAGAGTGGTGGAGGATTTGGCCGCCATTGATAGGCGGGAGGAGAGAGAAAGGGGAAAAGGAGAACCGGAGAATGAAGATGGTGGACTCACCGTGAGTCCGTTCTACCCAAAAGTTTACCTTTTTTTTATAATCTTTTGATTTATTCTTCACGTGGTAATTACTTTTTATCGAATTTTGGCAATATTTATAAAAAAAAAAAAAAATATATCTACGTGGAGATCTTGTTAAATTCATTCTAATAATAAATATTAAGCATAAGTTTTACAAATGGTTTGATTTTTAATAAACAAAACTATTATATGAAATCATACAAATAAGGATTTAACCTCATAACTTGAATGCCATGAGTTGAAATCTCATTGACCGCTCTTTAAAAAAGGAGATTCTCCTTACTATCTCCACAATCCTAGCGAATCTGACATGTGAAGTTTTACTATATGAAATCATAGATTAAACATAAAGCACACAAAAATATAGACAACAATTATCATAGTAAGGTGAAATTTGCTGACTAAAACTCCCATGCATCATGCACTAATCCACTAACTAACTAACGTCTATCATGCTATCAATTATCATGTATGATGATGCATAGTAAAGTAATACTCCGTACTACAAAATTAATAAAACAAATTTACTTTATACTTCAATGATCACTTTTGTATAAACTTAACTATGTTGTCAAGAATTTAATTGTATAATTTACAACTTACTCCAAATAGTAATCAAAGAAACTCTAAAAATATTAGACCAATTCCATTGTACAATTAACTGTATTTTATCGTTTATTACTCCATCGCATTTAACAATTTGGTTTTTGGTTTTTTTTTTTTTTTTTTTTGACGAGATAATTTGGCGTTTTATGAGCAAATAATAAGTATGGTATTAATTTATCTAGTGCATATATATATATATATATATATATATATATATATTCCGTAGTAATACATTCGAAAATTTATAGAATATACTGACTATGACAAGAGAGTAAAGTAACATTTTGAAAGAAAAAAAAATATTTAGTTGATGAAAAAGACTAACAAACTTAGGTGTAAAATCACAACAAATCAAAATATAATTAGTGGAAAAGAAAGTAAACGACGTGTAAAAATTAAGCTCAAGAAAAACAAAAATTAAAGGGAGGTTGGTAATAGTTTTCGGCAAAAAAGTGACATAAGATTCAATGACTTTCTGTGTCACTCCTACAACAAAATCGAAAGTTGTGAGTAAGCAAAATTAATTTCATTTCAAAAAAATAAAAATAAAATTGGAGAAAAATAAATAATAAATAAATAAATCAGGAGGAGTCCACATCTCCCCACTCCTTTTGAGAATACCCTTTTTATTTTTTTATTCTTTCCAAAAATATTCTAAATAATTATAAATAAAATTAAAAATAAATTTCACTCTCAAAATCCTCAAAAATTTCTTTCTTAGTTCATCACTCTCATAACTTCTCTCTCTTTCTCTCTCCTCTTTTCTCACTCTTTTCGTCTCTTCTCCCCTCAGGTAACTGTTTACACACAACACCTTTTTTTTCTGCTTATTTTTTGTTATTTTATTTTAATTTTCGTTTTGATTTTAGGGTTTTGTGATGATTTTTGTTACTTACTTGTTTGTAATTTTGATTTTGTTTTTGGTTGATATTTTCTGTTGTTAGTTGCATTTTTCGATGTTTTTGTGCTGAATTGTTGAACTATTTTTTCATTTTATTTCTATTTTTGTATTCTGTATGCTCATAATTAGTGATTAGTAAGTTTCTAGAATCTGCTGTTTACAGTAAAGTATCTTTGATTTTTTTTTTTTTTTTTTTTTTTTAGTTTTTACTTTATGTTGAGAATTCAGATTTGTAAATGACAATTGGAGATAATTTTGATGGTGATTTTCATGATTTTTGGTTAAAGCTAAATTATGCAGGAAAGTTGTGTTTGTTTGACATTTTCGAAGCGGTAATTTTGTTGCTAGTATGAATTCAAGGGTAAGGGAGGGGGATTGATGTGTGTGGAATCACTTTAGTGGTTTATGATTTGGTAGTCGACTCTAATCCACCATCCCGAAAGAATCTGCTCGATTTTTCGCGTCGAATGTCGATAGGAGCGTATGAGAGGGTTTTTAGTGAATTCATGACCTCTTGGACCTTGGTGATTCCGTAGCTGCTGATTTTGGTGTAGTGAGTTGGATGAGCACAAATTTCATTCTATTTGTTTCAAATTATGGAATTAGGTAGGAGGTGAGGTACTTCTGCTGCTAAATGCTACGAAGTGGTTCAAAAAGGGGTATCTAGTTGATGTATAGTTGAAGGCTTGAAGCTATAGGCACAAAAAGACCACATGTATTTTCTCTTCATATTTTTGTGAAATGCTCTTGCTGTTTTTAAGCAGCTGGTTGATTGGAATTTTTAATTTTCTCTTTGCTACTATTTCAGGCAGGCTTTCTAAATAAATAAATGCTATTTTTTCCATCTCTTAGATCGAGTTTCCTTTTTGGGATTTTTCACTGTTTGACACTAATATCGTAGACGAGTACTATTTATATGAGCACATCATGGAGTTGGAATCCATGTTAGTCTTATTGCTTGTGTGGTATTACTTATGATTTTTCTTGTTATCTCTTATGATGTATGGCAGGGAGGATTTGTCATGAAGACCTAGATTTTGAAGTACAAAAACTGGCTATGGGTGGTTGCTGTTGCTCTTCCAGAAAGACTCAATTGCAAGGGACACCCGTGTATTACTATGTATGTTAACATAAAGTTTTTTTTTTTTTTTTGGTACATGTACTCAATCTAATTCACCCTTTTTTGCTTCCTTGATGCCTATTACTTGGGGAAAGGAGATTGAGGCACTTTTGAGCTGAGCATAAGCCTATCACACATACGCAGAACTTTTTTTTTTTTTTTTTTTTTTTTGTTTCCCTCTCTTATGTTTTACGGAGTAGCATGTAATCCTCTCTCATTCTCTGAAGCTTTTCGGGCACTTCTTAAGATTCTTAGTTTGGTGATACTGTGAAAGATGTTCAGCTGCCACGAAATATAAATGTAGGAGTGACTGCCATGGACTAGGGATGTCATCACTGCTTTGACTTGTGAACCTGTGGTTGCCTTTGCATCTCCTGCAACTTTCTCTTTGGAAGTGTTATTAGTGTCACTCCAGTGTTTGCCTCTCCATGATGCTGATCCAATATTTTACTTTTTTTTTTTTCATTATTGTGCTATACCATTGGCTTAAGGATCTTGCATTCCTTACTGTTGGTCTGTTCATCCTTAACTTTGATGTTTTATAGGACAAACTTGACATTCTTATGAGTAGAAAAGGGAGGAGAGTCTTCTAGCTGCTTCAGACTCATTTCAACACACTATATAAATTTTAATGTAAAGAGTTGCATCTTTTTCATGAAAAATGTGACCATGTGCCACATTATTTGTGTATTTATTTCAAAAACGCAGCCTACAGTTTTCGCTCTGGGCCAGTAGCAGAATGATGTTCTTAATTAAATTTCTCATTTGCATGCATCTTTCTGTCAACATAGTATTAGAATTATGTTTATTTTCTTCAAAGATCTCTTCTAAATAAAAAAAATACTTTGTATTGTTTATGTGTATTAACTTGCTAATAGTTTCGATTGTCCTGAGTGTTGATTTCTTTGTCCCTGCTACGGCTGCAAGAGGTGGGAACCGTTCATGTTGTGGTTGACACATTCCAATTGTATGGGAGCTTAATTTTTTATTTTCTTTCACGCAGTGCCCTCCATCTTTGGAAGAGCAGGATAACTTGAGAGCATACCGTGGGACAGCCCCCGGGCTGTCAACAGGGCTTTTGGTTGGACTAAATCTGGACACATCGAGCCCTGATACTTTCAGACCCCCTCCAGCACCCATTCCTTTTAATGTGCTTTTTGGGCGTCCCCAGACTCCAATTCGTTCTCTAGGATGTCAAGGACCGAAGTGTGATGCAACGAAACAATCAAAACCCACATCTCTCGGAGAGATTGCTGCCATTGATAGATCTGAAAAATTGACACCTGGTGATCATGTTGGGAAATCAGAAGGAAAAACTCTTGCTGATATTTTGCTTGCCTCACCTACAAAGTCTGATGTTGAAATTACAAAATCATCCGAGGCTTATGAGTTAGCCACTGAAGAAGAGGACGCCTGTCCTATCTGTCTTGAAGGTGAGGGTTTTTCCACTTCAAAGTAGTGCGTTGAGTTACTATCGGTTCCAGTATTTTATCTCACCAATGAATTTTATTTTCAGAATATGACACAGACAACCCTAAATTGGTTACGAATTGTGAGCATGATTTTCACCTGTCATGTCTCCTTGAGTGGATGGAAAGAAGTGACTCCTGTCCAGTTTGTGATAAGGTCTGTATCTAGTATCACTACAATTACTAATGAATATATTTAATTCATACAGATGATGATCCTTATGTTTTTCTTTCTTTTTTTGACCTTCCTGCCGGGTGACAGTCAGATTAAATATATCTACTGCATTTGTTGTAGACATTTGAAAACAATGCTTTGTCAGCATCTCAGCACACTTAATACCCTCTCCATGAACCCCATATAAACTTGGTTGCTCCACCCTCTTTCCTAGTTTACCATCGAACCTTTAATCCTTATTTAACTATAATAATTGGTTAATATATGGGTTTCTGCTGGAGGGCCAGCCCATTTTAGTGATGGTTGGTCAAGCCTTGGGCAGGGTTTTGACTTGCAGTTATGGTTGCAATTCTAGCAACAGTCGAAGATTGTAGAAGTGTATTATATTGTGGTGTCATGTAAATCGTTGTGAATGTTGCAATATGAACTTGCAATCTACATAAGTCATAAAGGCCGTTATTGGCTTCGACTGATTAAGACCGTGTATTAGACATCAGTCATATTGGCCAATCCTTTTCAAATTGGGATGTCTGAGTGAGTATGTTCAGAAAAATGAATTAAACCTTGATCTGGAGGAGTGAGTGGGTTATATAGCCTGGTGTGAGTTTTGCAAAGTTACTAAATACCATAAAATTACCCTAATGCTCTAGCTTAGAACAGGATTAGTGGGAGATTTAGATGAACGCAGCCTTACTGGTGGGTACCCTGTTCCTACAATCACAAATAAATTGTTAGCTGTAAGTAACCTTTATCTGCTTGCTAACTGAACAAGTGACTTGCTACTACAATTTCACAGCATATAATTAAACACAAGAGAAAAGTTGATTCTACGTTTAATTTAGTTCTTGAAATCTAAATTTGAAAATGCCCCTTAAGAGGTTCTTTAAACTAGATTGGCCACAGGCAGTTGGCAAAGTTACTACCTCGGGTGTAATTTTCTTGTGATCTTACATTTTATGATTTCTAATGATGCTTCAAGCTTTAATTGTTGAGATATCTGTTGTTGTTTCTATTAAGGGGCCAAATATAACATTTGTTTATTGTACATGGAACAGGAAATGATATTTGATCACCCTGATGGTCAGAACTGAAAAATTCCCTTGATGAGCAGATCTAGTTGCTTATTCCAAATGCTTGCTGATCAGTAAACCAAACATTAAGGGAGTTATATGCTTCAGTGAGGTCTTAGATTCTTTTTAGCTGACTCAACTTGTGGCTTATTAAGTTGTTCAACATCTTCATTCCATTTAAAGTCTGGTTTGCTGGAGTATCCTGGACTGATCTTTGATTGTATGTATCAGTGACTAAAAAAAGTTGACTGGTTCTTGTCAAAGAATGTGTACAAGCTGCAGGTTAAGGATTGTGATATATTCACAAGCTGTTTGGAAGATTTCGAAAGGGATAATGGTTAGCACTCGCCTTTCGGTCCATTTAATTGCAGCAAATTCCATTTCATGTACAGATTTTTATTTTGGTCCGTCGCCCCTTCTTTGGTGGTGCTGTTTCATCTCGTCCTCCATTTATTTTGTCCTCCCATATCCTCCATTTATATTGTCCTCCCCCATCCTTGCCCCGTCTTTAGTAGGTTATGTTTTCCTTACCCATATTAGCTACACAGTAAATTAGTGTGCCTGTGTACTTTAGCTTGGTGTCACAATTTTTTCTTTTTTTTCAGGAAAACATTTTTTAGTAAAGTCAGTGCTCATTGTCACTGAATTCTGGTCACTATACAAAAATGTCAACAGTGAGTTTGTTCTATCTTCATACTCCTTTCTTGCTGAAGCAGTTTTCTGGATTTCCTTTTTCATCATTTCCGTTTGCATTTAGAAAAGCTCTTTACATAAAATATTTATTTTGACTACATGCCCTATGATCTTTTGCATACATATTCAACTAATTTATCTGTTACATAGTTGATGCATTCATTTCAATTCATAATTGGTAATGTGGTCTATATATTCAGTAATCAATAAGCTATTTGATTAGCATGTGATACAGTTACATGCTATGAGGTGTAGCACTTTAGTGCTATCTTCATCTCTCGTGGCATAGACCCGGGTTTGATGCACACACCCCTCCCCTTCCTCCTCCCTCTCCTCCTCCCCCTCCCTGGGATATGGAATTATGGCCAGCTCACCCAATAAATAAGTATGTGACGGCCACATTATTTCTGAAACCTCTCTTTGACATTCGTTCTACGGTTCTACCTATTTTTCTGTGTAAAGTGTAATGACAATTGTTTATTACGTAATGAAGTTGTATATGATGGCCGAGGGGGTGATGAAGAGGGAAAGAAGTGGAAGTACTAACCTTGTAGGGTAATAGAATCTAAGGAAAGGAAAAGAATGAATAAATGAATGTGAATGTTGTTGTAAACATTCTTAGAGGATGATAAATATTTGACTAATAACAGTACGTTGCTATCGTTCCAACAATATTGGGCCCATTTGACATTGCTATCAAAGAATCCTATTTTTACCTTTTAATATTCACTTAAAGTAAAATGTTGTGTCGGTGATATAATACAACGTTTCTTAAAAAAATCTAAACTGTAATTTTCCATATGGAGTACTCTATAGTTGTATAATATGTAGTCACAAATATTAAGTGGATTATCTTTTGCGAAGGAGAAAGTATGGATTAAAAAATGAGAATCTAATCTTAGCTAGAAAAATAGAAGGTGGGTAGGTGATACATGGTTTTCAAGTGCCTTGACTTTTGCTTCATAATTTTATTTGGCTATTATTGGTAAATTACAAAATTTTGTTCATGGTGGGGGCTTCAAATGTCTTTTCTTCATAGTTGGTAGCATTGCCTCTTTCTTAAGTTCAAGAGTTAGAAGAAGAAAATAGCATGTGAGTGTTAAATACGGGTTTGAGCCGCACCCAAAACCAAGAGAGAGTCCACTCTATAAGTCCAAAGGAGGTTTTATTTAGGGGTGGCAATACGGGTCAGCAGGTCGGGTTTGGGTCAGATTTCGGGTTAATTTCGGATAGTGCTTAAAAACTTAATATTATTACGAAATATGAAATTTGGGTCAAATAAGGTCGAATTCGGGTTGTTCGGGTTTGGGTTGAGTCGGGTTATCGTGTCGGGTCAGGGATTGCAAGCCCTAAATTCCCAAAACTATATGGCAATAGGAGGTTTGGCCCTTTTAGCCTTACAAAGTGTTTGACTCTCTCAACTTTTATCAATACGGGATACTTACATGTGCTTTTTAGTAAGATATATTTTAACACTCCACTTCACATGTAAGGTCCTTTAACTTATTAATCACATGATCCAATTCAATTTGGCCCACAATACTTAATGCCATTAAAGGTCCCAAACCATGGGCCTGGCAATACACTCAAGCCATTAAAGGTCCCAAACCGTGGGCCTGACTCTGATACCATGTTAAATACGGGTGTGGGCCGCACTCAAAATCAAGAGAAAAAGTTCACTCCACAAGTTCAAAGGAGGTTCTATCCTAAAATCATATGGCAATAGGAGGTTTGGCCCTTTTAGCCTTATAAAGTGTTTGACTCTTTAACTTTTATAAATGTGGGACACTTATATGTGTTATTTAGTAGGATATATTTAAACAGAAAAATCATAAGAATGTAAATATGTAACCCAATCCAAACCCCATTTGTGTGGATGTCACAATCCATACCAAACTATATATGGACTACATTCATTTTCATATTACTAGTCTTTGTATTTTGATGACTAGAGGTTCCGAGTTAGGGATAGTACAATAAGTAGTTAGTATCTGATTTTTTAGACGAGAAAGAGTTGTTTTAGCTTTTAAGGTTGGATCTGGTTTAAGAAAAAAAATATTTTGTTCTTCCTCCGTTTAATATTAGTTGTAACACACGTTTTTTCACGGTATTTAAGAAAAGTGGGATTCACATTATTGAGTCCACTTTAAAATAGTTTGAGAGGTTGTTATGAGTATAATTTAGTGGATCATGTGCTTTAAATAAGGGAAATAGTACAACTTTTTCCTAAAATAACTTTTTAATTATAATGTGTTGCAACTTGCAAGTATTGTGATATTTTCATTTTAGGGAAGTGTTGCAGGTATTAAAAAATGAAGAAATTATATATTATCTATTCATTATGAACACAATCTAAATGAAAGAGGAGGTACATTATAATTTTACTTGGTCAAATGAATTTAAGGTATGGTGACAATATCTCATTACTTGCGCTTTGTCCAAAAATTGATTCTTTGATTGGACATACAAATGCTACATTTCTTGAGTTCTTCGCCTTTGTAGGCCTACAACGTGGAAGAACGTAGGAGAAACTTCTGTTGCACACTTAACTATTCTGATTATAAATTTATACGGAGCAATGCATTGCATATGCCTGTTAAAGCAAAAATAACATACTGTTATTCCTCAATTACAAGTAGTGAAAATTAAGCAGATACATTTGTGTGATTGATAAATGTCAACACATTGTCATTAATTACTCCGTACTTCGATAACAATTAATTTCTTGAATGTACGTTTGCTAAGCCTTTAGGTTGCATATATCAAAACCGTAACAAGCCTCAAAATAATGTTATTGCATAACTGGTAAAATACAGTAAATGAAAGATTATGATATTTTAACACTAAGCCTGAAAAATTGATTCCAATGGAGTGTGAACTAAAGATGAAGGGAATGACTTTTATGAGTCTGGAATTCTGGATTAAATTTTGTTCAAAAGTAGTGCGAGTATCTTTCAGGAAATCAGATGAATATTATATTTCCCTTTTTCTCGTTTCCCTCCACGCGTGTTTCTGCTAGTATCCAAATTCCAAACCATGTGATGATGGTTCATGACATGAAAATTCCAATTTCGATGTTTTAATAACCCACTGTACTTTTTATCATTACCTACTTTTTTTTTAGATATTTATACGTGATTAATATGAACAATTATATTTGGTTGATAAGTTATTTCCTTTTAAGCCTAGAATCCTCTTGTATACAGCGTAACCAAAAATCCACCGTTGTGTTGGTAATGAGGTTTGATATCACAAACTCAAAGACCTAGAGTTGGGCAATGGGCAGATCGGGCAGATTGCTACAATGTTGCTTAGCAGGCCAATCTAATGGACAAGAATGATACATTTTATTGGGCTAGGTCATGATATAGTGGGCCTGGAACGGCCCGGACTTTGCTTGGCTTGTTGTGAATGAAATGAGTTAGCGGTGGACTAGTGGTGGGGGACATTAGTAGTGGGGAGGCAACCTATGAGTGTCGAGTAAAGGTAACCAAAAAGTTTAACTAACTGTTAGTGGAATAAAGATAAACCTGATAAAAAGTTGTAGTCTTTTTTATTCAGTGGGAGTAGATAACTTAGCATAGAGGACTTGAGGAGTGTATAATGACAAGAAGAAATCGAAAGTGATTTTTGTCTAAGGTTGTATTCATTTATAACTTCCATTAAATGATGAGCAATGTTAATATCGGTGTGGGGGTATTTCAGTATTTTGAATTAGATTATTAGTTTTTGTAACACATTGATCATCTACCCAATGACAAGTCACACATAAATAGTGATATTTATAACCACTATCCCAAGAATCGGTAGTCAAAAACACTCTACAATTAAGTTTACTCAATTCTTCTTGTAACCGCATTTTATACTCTAGAAAGTTTTTCATGGCGGCGGAACGAACAATTTTCCTAGAGATTTTTTTATGTTGGGGTTGTAATGCTTTATTAATGTAAGTGTTAAATGGGTCACTTTCAGAGAAAAGAAAAGGTTGTTCGGCGTGTACTATCATTTTTCGTAGTTCATCCATATCCCTCTCATAGTTGTAGGTAAAGTCGTGTGGATATAATAGGGAAATTTTTGGCTTGGTTGAATCACTAGCTGGTTGTGCACATGTTCTAAAGTGTCTACTTAAGTGTCCCGTCCCGGAATTGGATTCTGCCGAGTATATTTTACCACATGTTTTACATTTTGCTCTTGTTTGGGCTTTATTTAGCACAAAATAATTCCATACATCACTTTTGCGGCTTTTAATATTTACCATGTCACTTTCGGTTAACCATTGCTCTTGTGTGTTTGGGAATTGGGTGTTTGTAGATTCGGGGATTTGTTGGTTAGTAGTAGGAGGCATTTAGGGTATCTTGTTCGCTACCATGGCTAATAAAAAATTTTGTGGGTCAAAGAAATTAGGTGGGAATTGACCGAATTGTGGAAATTAGTTTTGTGGAAATTCGGGCATATTCATATTATAGGGTTGAACGGGTTGAAAACCGGAAGTACCATCGTGCCTAAATTGTTCAAAGCTTAGGGGGACGTTACCGGGGTCATTGGTTGGAATGAACGAACTCGGAATTTGAGGGCTCATTGGAATAGGTGATTCCCTATAACTATTATCACGGACAAATTGGGCTTTCTTAGAGGATGATCGGTTCATGTTTGGTGATGCCATAATTAACAAATTAACAATTTTAATAATAACTAATTAACAATAATAATAATTAATAACAATTTTAACAATAATAATAATTAATAACAACAATTATAACAATAATAATAATTAATGACAATAATTATAACAATAATAATAACAACAATAATAAATTAAAGATTAGTTTAGATCTTACAACCGTGCTTCAACGCTTTCCACTAATTACGATTACGAACTTTTAATTTTTTCGATATTAAGAGATAATAATTAGAGAATTTAAGAGATTAAGAGAATTATTAGAGAATATAAGATATTAAGAGAATTATTAGAGAATATAAGAGATTAAGAGAAGAGATTGTGAATTTGTGATTTGAAATGAAGAAGATGGAGCTATTTATAAAAATTTAGGGGAAGAAGACCGTTGGAAACAATGGTGGAAGATGAACATTGAGCAACGGTCTCCTCCATTAAAGACGTTGTGCTTCAACAGTCATAAAGCAGCTGGCACGCGGGCCGTGCTTGACGGGCTGGCACGCAGGCTTGGAAGCGGGCTCGTGCCGTGCCGTGCTGGAAATCACCACCCTCTGAATGTGGCATGGCCCACGACCCGTCTTCCGACCATCGTGCTGTGCCGGGCCCCCTCACGGGTCGTGTCGTGCTGCCCACGGGCTGCCCGGCCCATGCACACCTTTAGGAGCTACCGGCGTGGGGGAGGGGGTTATGGCCGGCGCTTAGGTAGGGAAGATGATTCTGGCCGGTGTGGTGGTGGTGGGGAAGGTGGTTCATGGGTGGAGGCTAGCAGTTTTTTTTAAAAAAAAAAAATTAAGGGTTTTTTTTTTCAACCAATCAAATGGTGGCACGTGTCACCTTAACATATTATAACAGGTTAGTAACCGGTTAGGGACCAAAGAAAGCGAATACTCCCCAAAGTTGGGATTCTTTAATAATAATCCAAAATTGGAATTATTTAAAGCGATACGTGAAAGTTGGGATTATTTTTACCAATTTTCCTTTTAAAAAAAAATAACCTCTTATAATCTTTATGATGCCACAATGATATTTCAATATGATAACCTTTATTTTAGAATAGTGATCTTTTATTTATTTATTTATTTATTTTAATAAAACGACCATATTGTCTATAATATTAGTGGTCCACAATAAATTAGTGTGAACCGAATCCATTTAAAAGTTTGTAATAAATAAGTTACGAAGTATGATTATCGTATATCTATCAATTTATTACATTACCTTATCTCATTAACTAGTGTCTATCTAAACATTTAGAGCATATTTTCATCTTAACTTCACATAGTCCAAAATGGATCTACTTTTTCAAATTCTAAATTGGCTAAATTCAAAGCATAAAAATAAATTGAATAGATAATATTCCATTCTTTTCAAATTAATGTAATGTGTATGACTTTTGGTTTCAAAATTAATTGATGATAATTATGAGGCTTTGAAAGTTGATTTTTCAAATAAGTATAAGCAACTCCAATGGTAAACTAATTGTCAAATTAGCTTGTCATGTCACATAAGCTTTTAAGCTAATTTTCTTTCTAGCTAGTTTGAGCCCCAATGGTTAGCTACTAGTTTACTAAATAAATTATTAATTTATTGTTTTCATATTATTTACTAATTTACTTTTAGCATTTTCTTTTTGGCAAGATCTTTCCAAATAAATTAGCTTGATAATTTGCTTGGCCAAGCTAATTGTATATTCTAGCTCCAATAATCAAGCTAGTAGCTAAGAATTATTGAAAATAACAACCAAGTCCCTAACTACAACCGTTGGAGTTGCTCTTGGAGCATTAGAGCAATTTCAATGGTTGTAGCTAGGGACTTGCTTGCAATTTTTAAAAGCCTCTAGCTATTAGCTTGACCATTGGAGTTAAAAAATACAATTAACTTGGCCAAGCAAATTAGTTTGTCCAAGCTAATTTGCTTGAAAAAAAAAGTTTCCAAAATTGTAGGAAATTAATATAATAGATAATTAAATTTGTAAAGCTAATTGAGAAAGTCAAGCTTATTTAATTAGCAAGCTAATAGTTAACCATTGGGGTACAAAATAGCTAAAAAGAAGGTTAGCTTAATATTATATGTAGCATGACAAACTAATTTAATAATTAACTTACCATTGGAGATGCTCTTAACTAACCTTACAAACTCCCTAAATAGATTCATTGTCCTAATAAAAAAATTGAAAACATGAAATATAACCTTTGTTATACCAAGCGATTGCTTATTTGTAATCTTAAAGGCTGCATATATCATTATTTGGAGCATTAACTAACCTTACAAACTCCCTAAGTGATTGCTTATTTGTAATCTTAATGGTTGCATATATCATTATCCTTTCTTTTAACCTATAATTACTGTAGTAATCAAGAATTTAGTGATGAAAGAAAATTGACGGATGTAAATCAAATACAACTTATTATTCTCAAGTGGAGTAGTAGATTTTTTTTTTTAAAAAAAAAGGAGTAATAAAATGATGGGAGTAAATAAAATTTGTAATCGTATCCAAAGCCATTGGCCTTTAATGGAATATGATCCATTGAATCATCCCTATTCACAAGCTCTTGTTCCTTTTGCACCAAACAAACCCAACAATCTCTTTGTTTCTTTCCTTCCCATTTTTAATTTTACAAATCATCTCTATTATTACCTCTTTCAAAGTTTTTTAAAAATAAATCTCATCATCTTGGTTTTTTTTTTTTTTTTTTTTTTTTTTCTTTCTTTTGGTGGAAAATTTTGGACTCTGACTACACCCTTCATTACTCTGTCAAGCACTCACTCCACTAATCTCACTTCACTCCACCAGTCCACTTAAATATTTGACTTGACTTCACCTCAAAACGCCGTCGTTTCACCCATCTTCTCCACCACCTTCAAAAATCAAAACCCCCTAAATATTTCCACTCTTTAAAAAATTGCAAAAAAAAAATGACAATAATTTTCTTCCTCTTAACTTTCTCTTCTCTGAGTTCTCTCCCACAACTTAACTCGTCACCTGACTCACAAACAATCCTCCGATCCAACTCAACCATTTTCAGCCCAAATCGAACCTTCGAACTCGGTTTCTTCACCCCTAACCCAGAACTCGGCAACCTCTACCTCGGAATCTGGTACTCTTCTCTCCCTACTCGAACCTACGTTTGGGTCGCTAATCGTCATACCCCTTTGAAAGACAATACCACGGCTTCACTTTCTCTCTCCTTTGACCAACTCACTCTCTTTGACTCCGTCAACTTCGTCGTTTGGCGGTCGGATAATCTCCGCCCTGGCTCCCACCTTCGTCTCCTTGAAACCGGGAATCTTCTTCTTCTATCCTCTTCTAACGACGTCGTTTGGCAGAGCTTCGACCACCCTTCTGACACGTGGCTACCTGGGATGAACCTCACTGTTGCTGGGTCCATTGTGGCGTGGAAGTCGGAGTGGGACCCTTCACCGGGGAGGTATTCTCTGCGGTTGAGACCACCGCTTTACGGTGAGATCGAGTTGGTTTATAATGATACGGTGTCGTATTGGAGTACTGGGAGATGGACTGGAAGTTCCTTCGCGAATGTTCCGGAGATGACGGTGACGTACATTTACAGGTTTTACTTCAAGAATGTGTTTACCAAAACGGCGTCGTTTGGGTTCTCGGAGGTTCCGGCGGGGTCGGAGAGTGGACCCCCACCGTTGACGAGGTTCCAGGTCAGCCACACCGGGGATATTCAGCAGTACACGTGGTCACCACAGACGGAGTACTGGAACTCGTTTTGGGCCCGGCCCGAATCGAGGTGTCGGGTTTATGGGCTTTGTGGGCCCAATGGGGTTTGCTATGGGGAGAATTTAAGGACTTGTGGGTGCCCGAATGGGTTCGGGCCGAAGGACGGGCTTGGGTGGGCCCGGGAGGATTACTCGGGTGGGTGTGTGAGGTTGGATGGTGAAGGTGAGGTTGGGGTTTGTGGGATGGATGATGGGTTTGTGAAGATGGGTAGTATGAGTTTCGACGAGGCGAAAACGGTGTCATTTCGAGGGGTGGAGAGTAAGGGAGAGTGTGAGAAGAGTTGTTTAGGTAATTGTTCATGTATTGGGATTAATTATAATGAGAAAATTAAGTTGTGCAAGAATTTGTTTGGTGTTCTTGTTAATTTGAGAAATTGGACTGCTGATAGTACAATGGGTGGTGATGATGATGTTTTGTATCTTAGAGTAGGAAAAAATGAGTTGAAAAACAAGGGTTTGAGTCATAGAATGGTTATTTTGATTAGTGTAATTTCTGGGTTAGTTGCAATTTCAGTGATTATGTGTTTGGTTTTGTGGGTTATTAGAAAGGAAGTTAGGAGGAGAAGGAATGAGGAGGAAGAGGCAGCTTTAGCTGCTACCCATTTGAGGGTTTTTTCGTATAAGGAGCTCCACGGAGCGACTCGTGGGTTCTCGGAGAAGCTCGGGCATGGTGGTTTTGGGACTGTGTTTCGTGGTACATTGTCAGATTCCTCTCATGTGGCTGTCAAACGCCTTGAACGGCCGGGTAGTGGGGGAGAGAAAGAGTTTCGAGCTGAGGTTTGTACAATTGGGAATGTCCAGCATGTGAATTTGGTTAGATTAAGGGGGTTTTGTTCTGAGAATTTTCATAGGTTGTTAGTTTATGAATACATGCATAATGGTCCTTTGAGTGGATATTTGAAGAAAGATGGTCAAAATATGAGTTGGGATGTTAGATATAGGGTGGCAATTGGAACAGCCAAAGCCTTGGCTTATTTACATGAAGAATGTAGACAATGTATCATTCATTGTGATATTAAGCCTGAGAATATTCTTCTTGATTCAGATTACACTGCAAAAGTTTCCGATTTTGGGTTAGCAAAGTTAATAGGCCGCGATTTTAGTAGGGTGTTGGCAACAATGAGGGGAACTTGGGGGTATGTTGCTCCAGAGTGGATTTCTGGAGTGGCTATTACTAACAAGGCAGATGTTTATAGCTATGGGATGACAATGTTGGAGCTTATTGGGGGTAGAAGGAATGTGGAAGCACCACCACCCTCACCACCTAATGACGGGTGTGATGGGAATCAAGGAACCCATGGGAGCGGTGATTCAGGTAGTGGTGATAAGTGGTTCTTCCCACCATGGGCAGCTCGGAAAATAATCGAGGGGAACATGGAAGAAGTGGTGGATTCAAGGCTTGGTGTGGCATATGATAGATTAGAGGCGGAGAGGCTAGGGATGGTGGCCGTGTGGTGCATACAAGATGAGGAAGGGGCAAGGCCTTCGATGGGATTAGTTGTAAAGATGTTAGAAGGGGTTGTAGAAGTAGGTGTTCCCCCACCTCCTAAACTTCTTCAAGCCTTAGTAGCTGGGGAGTCTTCTGTTGGGATTACTTCCGGAAATGTAGTTTCAAACACGGGCGGTTTTGGCTCTGACGATAATAATACCAGAGTTTCTGTAGATCCAGTATCACCTCATTCTCCCAGTAGTCCTAGTAATGCTCCTTCATTAGCGACAAATGTAAGTGTATGATACTTGTTACAGAATTCTGTTATCTAATGAGTTTACAAAAGGCCATCAATTTTGAGTCCTCAAGCTTGTGTGTTCCATTGCATTCTATTCTATATTTGCTACACTGTCTCTCCATTTACTTGCTGATATGTGTATGGTTATGCCGGTATGTTTAGATGTACGCAGTTTTATCCCTACCTTAACCGACCATACACCCCCCCTCCCCGGGCTTTTGTTGTTGCCGGATTGAATCCTTATACCCCCGGGCATCAAACTCCACTGGCTACCCTGAGACGGGGACTTCGTGTGGCCGTGTGGGAAGTGGCTGTTGTGTACCTGGAAAGAAAAAAAGGTATATTGCATCATTGCAAAAAGAATCAACAAACAGATGGGCAGTTTTAGAAATATTGATTCAGCAAATCCCTTTACAGTCTTTTTCTCTTTACAGAACCTAAAGATTTTAGTCATATGATGCACACTATCTGCATGTAAACATCATTGTTTCACATTTGATATCAGGAAAACATCATTCTCTTGCTTTCTTTTATCATACTTGCTGTAACATTGTCACTGAAGTCTTGTTTTCGTACGTGTTGACCGAAAACATCCTAAATCTTGACTTAAACTTAATTATTGTTTAGATGTTAGATCTGGACTTTGGCCTAGATTTGAGCATTGTGTTCTGTTTCTTTTATTCAAAAGGTCTCTACTGTCCTGTAGGCAACGACAATTTCGTGAGTCCAACTTGAAATTTTGATGGTTTCTATACTTTTATCTTTGCAATTGTTTACTTTATAATTATATTAATATTGTGTTTGTACCTCTACGCTTTGTCATTAGTACGACATAATTTCTCTCATATTTAAAATGTCTCATGTGAATGTCTATAATAATGCGTAATAATTTCTATAGTATTACTCTCTAGTCTCTACCCTTTATTAGGCATATTTTAAAGAATATGGGCGAAAAAAAGAACATTATACACATTTATAAAGAATGCGAACCTAATATATTCTTTGAGTTTGATCATTATGTTCATTGAGTTTGAATTATTTGTTCTTCACATTATACAATATGTTCTCTAATGTATAAACATAAAAATAAAAAATAAAAAATAAATGTTAAATTCAAGCACCCGAGTAACTATGAAAAAGAACATGTTATTTAATGTATTATCATATTTTTTTTGTAAAGACTTAATGTTTTTCATCAAATACAAACATATTCTTTGTCAAACACAAACATTTTCTTTTGTCGAACATAGGGTTCTTTTTCAAACACATTCAACCACCTGAGTAACCATGAAAAGAACAAATTCTTTAATATATTATCATGTTCTTTTTGTAAAGATTTTATGTTTTTTGTAATGTCATGTTCTTTGTCAAACACAAACATGTTCTTTTGTCAAACATAGGTATATTCTTTTTCAAACACTAGTATGTTTTTTCCGCCTTTTTTAGTTTTACCGGGTGTAACATGCTCATGGTGTCGAGTGCACTATACTATTTTCATATGAAATGTCTCATGATCAATTTTTGAAATATTCATCGCGCTCATTTTAAATTTCTGAAAGAGGAAAAAACGCATCTACATAAAAACTGTTTGTGCACATTTAAAGTACAATAAATTCCAAAATTCTATACGAATGTTATGAGCCACAATTCAGAAGAACGGTTTTCATAGGTCTCTAGTGTTTATTTATACATACTATAAAGAATGAAATAAGTTTCAGCTAACACCTAAATGTCAGACATTTAAATCCCTAATCAATAAACTGTCTTTCCCTTTGCATTATGCAAGAAAATAGTTTTCAACGTATAAATATGACAGTACGTTTTTTTCTTTTTTGGTTTATATTTAATGCAAACCCTTCAAAAGAAAATTAAGCTGAAATTTAGGAATGTAAGAAAACTAGTGCATTCCTAAGTTTAAGGGATCAATGTTTTCATTTCATCCAGCTTACTATTGTTGGAATGCATGTATTAGCAATCTATCAACCATTCCTTTTTTTTGTGATAAGAGTAGAACAAGGACAACAACATCAACAACAACCGAAAAATCAAAGTAAAATTTAAAAGAAAAACAAATACAAAACGAAGTTTGCAACTTAAATTTTATTTTGAGGGGAAATTGATATTCATAACACAAACTTATATTGTTGATTTTCATCTTCTTTTCTGGGATTAATCTCCTTCCAAAATTTGGATAAGGTTTGAGTTTATACTGTTTTCCCCATTTAAAGAACAATTCTAAAGTTCTGTTTTGTTAAAGAAAAAACAATAGTAAATTTGAATACAAAGATAGGCAAAATAGCTAAGGAATTAGAACTAGCTGGGCAAAATGCTGGGAAGGTGGGCAATGGTAATGCCTCCCCTTCCCCTACTGAGGAAGAGGTGGAAAATACCGAGAAGATGGATATACCGTTGATTGGTGGGGACCGATATGACAGCGAGCATGTGGCCGAGCTCCACTCAGCACCGTCTGGGGTGCTCAAGGCGGAGGATGAGGAGGCTACAGGTGATTATTCTCCTATGAAGAATTTTGCAGATGCTAAGCATGTATGGTGGACAGAGTTGTCGAAGTTATGGGGCATTGCAGGTCCTATTGCTTTCAATATCCTTTGCAATTATGGTATTAATTCATTTACCAATATCTTTGTTGGACATATTGGAAATGTGGAGCTCTCAGCTGTGGCCGTTGCTCTTTCTGTTTTTGGAAATTTTGTCTTCGGTTTCTTGGTGAGCTTTCTTATACTCCCTACTTTTATTCATTGGTCGATGTTCATATTGCATATTTTCCCACCTTTTTGTTTATTTTGCTTCCTTTTTTTGTTTTCTTCTAATTGAGGTAGGGTACTTGGGTGTTGAAATGAGAGTTATGATGAATTGATGATAGTTACAAGATAGAGACATGAAACTAATCACATAATCGATATTATGTGCTATGGTCCACTCTTCCCCCAAAATAAAGTTTTGTTTTATTTGATCCCGGAATGAAATAGAGAAAATATTTCCCATTAGAAAATTAGAATTCTTGTTAGGAGTTGGGATGTGGATCTATCCTCACAACAATAGATTTATCATGTATGCATATGTTTTAAAGCGGATCATGAGCCATAATCTAGAAAAGAGAATCTATATTGCAACCAAAGTATTCTCTAGTTCCAATTTTCCTTTCATAGCCCAAAAAAGAAATGTTTTATACAACAAATGGATCCTGCTCGTTGGGAAGATTATACTCTCCCCATTGAAATTCTGTTAGGAATCGAGAATTAATTCTTAACTTTTAACAAAATTGTAACTCTATTAAAAAAATTAAATTAAAAATAAAAATAAAAAATATTGTAACTTGGGTACATGTATTTCAGAGCTGATATTGGGCCAGATGTGATAAAAAAAATATATTCAGCCCATTTTAGCAGAATCCATGGGGCTGAAAAAGTGTAACCATGCTTGGTACTTTGGTAGAATTGGGCTGGGCCTTTGTTTGGGCCAGAAATAGACTGGCCAAACACAGAACCATGTTCAATCAGCTCTAAAATGGGCTTTCAATCATTTATGAAAGTATCTTTCAAGAACTAGGAGGAACAATAGTTGTAAGAATTCAGGACTTTTTTTTGAAGTAGCTGGGATTATGAGGAACAATTTTTTATCTCGATTTTTGAATGACTGACATATTAAATTTTTTATATTGTACTGCAAAGTATGATGTTTTAGCTTGAGATTAATTGTTCTGGTTTCTGATGACAACAATCCACAGTTAGGCATGGGAAGTGCCGTAGAGACATTATGTGGGCAAGCATATGGAGCAGGGCAAATACACATGCTAGGAATCTACATGCAAAGATCTTGGCTTATCCTCTTCGGCGCTTGCTTATTGCTTTTACCTCTTTACTTATGTGCTACGCCAATCCTAATGCTCTTGGGTCAGGAACCTGATATAGCGGAGCTTGCAGGGAAGTTTGCCATACAATGTCTCCCACAGATGTTCTCGCTTGCTGTGAATTTTCCGACCCAGAAGTTCTTGCAGGCTCAAAGTGATGTTGCATTCATGGCATATGTTGGTTTTGTGGCCTTGATCGTCCATGTCATGATGCTTTACCTCTTCATCGAGGTGTTTGGGTGGGCTACCATGGGTGCTGCTTTAGCCTATAATATCTCTGGCTGGGGGATTGTGTTGGCTCAAGCGTTTTACATCATAGGTTGGTGCAAGGATGCTTGGACTGGCTTCTCTTGGTTGGCTTTTCACGACCTTTGGCCTTTCGTTAAGCTCTCTGTTGCTTCTGCTGTTATGATTTGCTTGGAGATTTGGTACTTTATGAGCATCATTGTTCTCACTGGCCACCTTGAAGATCCTGTTATTGCAGTTGGTTCCCTTTCTATCTGGTATGCTAGCTTCCTGCATTAAAAGGCTCAACATGCTAAAAGACTCCTTTCAATCACAATTTTTCAAAATCTATCGTGCACTGGGTGTACGGTGTACCTAAAGAAACGTACACCAGGTTACATACTGGTAGGTGTATGACACGGAGCCTGACATATGTATGCCCAGATGTACCGTAGAAGTTCTGTTTTTCAAAGCGAACCCCCTTTGCAGATTTATGCAAAACAATTGATCTTACTCCCATGTTTTCTGATGCAGTATGAATTTAAATGGCTGGGAAGGCATGCTGTTTATAGGAATCAACGCAGCTATAGGGTAATGCCCTGTCTTTATATTGCTTTTACATAAATTCCATTTACCAGTCAACATGAAATTCCACAACCACTAGCATTCCTCTGCCTGTACTAACCTGTAACCAACAATATCTCAGCGTTCGAGTTTCCAACGAACTTGGATCAGGACATCCTAGGGCAGCCAAGTACTCCGTAATTGTCATTGTTGCTCAGTCGCTCTGCATAGGCATCCTCCTTATGTGCATAGTCATGCTCACTAGGAATCATTTTGCTGTAATCTTTACAGAAAGCAAAGATATGCAAAATGCTGTTGCTCATTTAGCTTATCTTTTGGGCATTACCATGGTACTTAACAGTGTCCAGCCAGTAATATCAGGTACATTTTAATCAATTTTTAATTACTTAACATCAAAAATAATTGATCATGGTTTAATGGGGTTTATAATTTCATTGATCAGGTGTCGCCGTTGGAGGAGGGTGGCAGGCCTTAGTTGCTTACGTAAACCTGTTTTCATATTATGTTATTGGACTGCCTTTGGGATTTCTCCTTGGCTATAAGACTCGCTTAGGCGTGGAGGTAATCGTTAGCTACTGTATTTCTCAGTCTAATAGCATTTCTGTAGAACTGTATCATAGAATTTGTTATGATAATCTTATGAAGCTTATATTAATTTGGTTTATAAAGTGACATAAATTTGTACCAATTCATTTGTATAGGCAAGTAACAAAGTTTTGTGGCTACACTATGCAGGGTATTTGGATAGGAATGATAATTGGGACAAGTCTTCAGACATTAATCCTAGTCTACATAGTTTACCAAACAAATTGGAATAAAGAGGTGAGTCTCTATTTAAAAAATAAAAAAAAATAAAAAGAAAAAAAAAAGAAAAAGAAGAAGATGTGTCCCAAAACCATATGGCAAATTCTCAATATGCCGAATTGTGGAGGAACTCCTTAGTCGGCCTTGGCCTTATTAAATAATTAACTCTATATTCTTTTATCAGTGTGAGGCCGTGGGACACTCACACTTGCTAACTAATAATATTCGTACCCTAGATTATAACAAAAAAAATGATTATTTTAGCATAACTATAGTCCAATAAAGTGTGTATATACCTAAGCAAAATGCATAAGACATTATTAACATTAAAATTTGAATTAACAGGTAGAGGAAGCTTCAGAAAGGCTGCGAATATGGGGTGGACGAGCAGAAGAATCGCATGATGATGATAAATAAGTTCTTACTATGTTGATTGTCCCAAATGATTCATTAAAATAGGTTTTATTTGTTTTAGTTTTTAATCTACATTATATCCAAAAAGATAGGCTTTTTTTTTTCCAATTTTCTCCTGGATAATCTCTTACAAGTTTTGAACCTAGTTAGGGTTAGGATATTAAATTAATGGTAGGACATAGAATGCAGGTCTATAGCAAATTATAGTAATAGTTACTATCCTTCAGAACATTAAAGTTGCAACAGAGAAACACGAATTCCTTTTTTTCTTTCTATATTAAATACAATATGCCAAACTAATGCAAGTATGAACGAAGTCGGTATAACATTTTGATGACTTGATGAGATAAGGCAGATAACTCTTCCTTGATTCCCAAATTATCTTCCCACTTGTAAGTTGTAATAAACACATTGGTAAATGGTAATGGTGGTCGATATAAATGTTTCTACGGAGCAATTTATTAATCCTAGTATCCTACCGTCTCATGAGTGTTATTTCATCAATGTTGTATTTCTTTTTAACTTATCGAAGTTGTAGTTCAATTCATCATACTATTAATACAACCATATATGCTACCTTTATATTCGGACAGTGACATGTGGCTAGTATAACACGGTCGAGTAATAGACCACGTAGTAGTTGGAGTTTGAAGTAGATGTATTAAAGAAAGAAGGTAGATCTAACCATAGCAGTCAACATTGGAAATATTTGATCGAGCCGAGACGTCACCACCATTGCAGCTATTATTGAGTCAATTGCAATTAACTGTTCAATCTTTATCAACATTGTGCACCCAAGAAGGCCCAAAAGGCCTAACCGCTTAAAGCTTGGCAACAACATTTATTATATTTGAGGGAGTGTCATGTGTGCACTAGCTTTCTAAACTTAGTCATGGTTTAACTTTAATCAATAACCATATAATGTTCATTACTCTTACTCACTTCTTGGGTTGTAATTTTAGAAAATCGAAAATTTGAAGGATACGGTGGATGAGATTTGAACTCACAACATAATTATCACGTTCGCCCTAATACCTTGTTATATAAACAACTCGGCCAAAAGCTTTTAAATTTGTAGTTATAATATTTATAAAGATAATATTTATACTTATGTGAGCCAGACAGTACAACTAATAATTGACTATGAAAAGAGTAGTTTTTCAAACTTATATGATATGCTCGTTGTAGCTCTTGGAAACCAGGAGTACATAATGGGTCATCATAATGTCACACTATAATAATAGTAAAAATTTACTTGAAAAACGACTTTGTAAATACGTGAGTACAGGCCTAGGAAAAAAGCACACACAAATTAATTAAAGACTTGATTCTTCAACTCACTCAAGATAAAAAGAAAAGAAGAAGGACGTGCGTGGGCGCATGGCTGGTGTGAAACGTACAATTACAAGTTGGAAGTGCAACGTGATTGAATTCATAAATCATAAATTAAATGCACCAGTACTAGTCTACAAGGCACCATCAACATATATAGTGCAACAGCTAGCTAGCTACTTCGTATTTAAGTAGTCATCTATCACAAAAGTCCTAAAATATCTAATTCAACCTTTAAGTCTCAATCTCTTAGATATTGTACCAGTCGTAGTTTTTAACTCTACTTTATCCATTTTTAGATGATTAGTGTGAATAATGATGTTTACTACTTCACTTACTTTTATTGTAACATATCTCAGGTTACTTTTATTACTATGAAATATGAATAGTGAAAACTATTTCAGCCTCTGATTACTATATCAATTGGCATGATGTGTCAATTGATATTCCAAAACAAAAATTTAACAAGGCTACTCCGGTCCGTATGTAGTAAATATCTTTGGTTCACTTTGGAGTTTTACTTCAAAAAAAAATCAAATTGAACTGCAAGTCTTCAACCCTTTTTACCTATTTTCATTTTGTTGTAGTAGTCTACGTAATTATTATCATAATGACGTGATGTCTGCCATTCGATCTACCACTTGTATTTCATAAATTAATTTGGGACCGTCCGTCCACCATATCTTTTCCAGTTACTGTACAACTTAATATCTTCAAGTATTTTGGGTTCATAATTTCATAGACATAGTGCTCCGTAGTATATAATAGTATGTAACAACGAACCCTTTAAGCTACTACGCACATTATTACTAAGAGCTAATCTTAGAGAAAGAAAGAAAGATGGTGAACATAGTGAGTTGTTACATGTCTATGTTACACAAAATGATGAAGTTAGTAGGAATGCAATCCATAGAAGTCGATATTAACCCAGAAACAACTATTCGTTTCTGGGTTAATACCTCGAACAAGAAGAATAAGAAGAAGAATAAGGAAAAAAAACCATCGGTGGTACTAATCCATGGATTTGCTGGTGATGGTTTACTAACATGGCAATTCCAAATTTTAGCCCTAAGAAAAAAATACACCCTTTATGTTCCTGACCTTCTTTTCTTTGGTGGGTCCCACTCAACTAACAAAACTGAGAGATCTACAAAGTTTCAAGCTGAGTGTCTTGCATTAGGGTTAAGGAAGTTGGGTGTTGAGGAAAAATGTGTTGTGGTTGGGTTCAGTTACGGTGGGTTTGTTGGGTTCCAAATGGCTCAACACTACCCTAACTTGGTGGGTTCATTGGTGGTTAGCGGCTCGGTTGCTGCCTTGTCTGAGTCTATAAGTAGTGGTTGCTTGGAGAGAATAGGATTTGCTTCTTGGACTGATTTTTTGATGCCTGATTCTGCTCAAGGTGCTAAGGTTCTTCTTGATGTTGGTTCTTATGACTTGCCTTGGATGCCTGATTTTTTCTACAAACACTATTGTCAGGTACGTTACGCAATGTTATTATATTTAGAAATTTTACATATTCACGCACATTAATGTTTGACTATATATGTTTTGTACGTGACATGTTCATAAATAAAGTATATAATTTAAATCTATGTGACATCTTGTTAGATTCACGTTGTTTTGTATGGTAATCCCAGATCATGTTTAGCAATAGAAAGGAGAGAGTTGAACTACTAGATGCTCTTGTGGTCAAAGATGAAGATGCCTATAATCATCAATTTCAACAGGTTTGCAATAAAGTATTTATTTATTGATTTTTTTGTAATTAATTAGGAATAACCAACATTTTAATTTACAATCAAGCTTCTTTAATTAATCCTATCACAATTTTGTTCAATTAAATTGAACTTCTAAAATATATAATTATGCAAAAAGATGTGCTAATTGATTCTTTTTTACATATTTCTAATGTTACAGAAAATACACCTATTATGGGGCAGTGAGGACAAAGTTTTCAACATGGAAGTGGTAAACAGCCTCAAAAAGTATGATCCCTTCACCTTTGTTATATTGTTTGCATTCGTCTATTCATAATGTCTTCTGTTCATTTATAACAACACTTGTTTTCTCATAAACATTAAAAAAAAAAAAAAAATGTCTACTTAATTGCACCCATTAGATCACCGTACAATAACGTTATTTTTAGATTTAATAAACTTGAATTTAAAGATGTTTAATTGTTTATCCAAATATGTGAGGTGTATTTTGACAACTTTGTAGGTGGCAAAAGATCTACATACAATAAGTGAATAAGCTCTAATTAGGGGAATTAAGGGTCTACGTTGTTTGTACTTTACTAAACAATTTAATTAATACCTCTGTTAATTATTATGATTTGCAATAAAAGGGTATTATTTGTGAGACATAAAATATTCCTTTGTTGCACAAACTAATAATTAACGCAGGTAGTACATAAAAGTACTCAACTTATAATACTCTGTACAAACTAATGTGTTTTGGCATAATATAATTAGACCAAAATTGAGGTTATTTTGCTCATTTTTGCATGTTATAATTTTGTTCATCTAATATTTTAATGTTATAAATACATGATGAATGATGCAGAAAATTGGGATCAAAGACAGAGCTACAAGTTATAGAGAATGCTGGTCACCTAGTTTTGTTGGAAAGGCCAATCGCCTTCAACAAATGTCTCATCAAAATTCTAGCCTCCCTCACTAATTAATTAATTAATGGCTTAATGCCTTGCTAATGTATTTGTTTGTGAACCGTTAATTTGTTCTCATCTTTAAACATTAGTAGCGTACCTAAAGCTATTTAATTTAAGAAACCCCGATTATTCTTTCAGAATTATAGGTATGATCTTTATTTTACTATCTCTTATGGGCACAAATATAATGCTTATTTTTTGAAATATTCATAATATGAATGTATGATGGATGACAAACGTATGGCATGTATTTTTTACATTATGCATAAGCTAAGGTCGCAATATCAAGTCCAGAAGTGTTGTCCTACCTTTTTTCTCGTTTTCTTTGAGTTACGTACTTACATCATATGATATTGATTTTGTGAGTATTAATCGCATTAATTAGCATTGGGATTAAAGGTTTGTGTCAAACTACAAGCCATGTTCTCTCTCCGTCCCCGAAACTTCGACCCTTTTGGGTTGATTTCGCGGGTATTAAGTAGTTAAATTGGAAGTGTAATAGTGTATGGGGAAACTAAGAAAAGTACGTTGAAAAGGGAAATTTACATTGGAATTGCAAAAAAGTAGAGAGAGAAAATAATAAAAGTATATAGAAAAAACAAAATTTGCATGGGGAAGCTAATTTTGCACAAATATTATTGCAAATTAAAGGGTACTAAAATACAAATGGGATGAACATTTTGGGACTAAAATTAGGCTAAAAGGGTCGAAGTTTCGGGGATGGAAGGAGTTTATTTTATATACAAGATCATAAAATATCATGGCTGGTCCAGAAATTAATTCCAAACATCTAGATCGATCATAATTGTCATAAAGTATTTTGTTATCGCCTTGGTCTTTGTGAATTGTGTTGTTGACAAATGACAATATGCAATTAAGGCAAATAGTATGATTTCATCTGATCTCAACCACTTATTTTCCATAAATAAATTACGAAATTTTATTTATAATTACCATCGTAAATTAGATTGTGATTAAAAAAAATAGGACTAAAGCTATAATATCTTGCTGAAAGTGAAGAGTGCGACCATTCGCTTGCATCTGTGAGAAAATTTATTGGGTGTGGACCAGGTAGATGTAAAATTTTTGGAGGTTTAAAATGAACAAATTACAAATTATAATTACCTGTGCATATGTCAGGTGGTACAAGGTGCAACCCTTTTTTTTCAAAATTAAAAAAAGATTAATACAATTATACAACCCTTTTGAGAGTGTTTGTTAGGGGGGATAAAAAGGGTGGAACAAGGATAAAAAAATAGGGATAGAAAAAATGTGGTATTTGTTTAGAGGGATGGGTTAGAAGGGGGTTAGGGATAGGGATAAAAACACCCACTTATATTATCCCTCCATTTCTATAACTATTGGAGTGGCATAAGGAGAAGGGATAAAAAATGAGTATTAAAAGAACAAATTACCCTTAATGAAATTGAAAGAGTAAGGAGAAAGGGTAGAAGTTAGTAAGAGTATTTTTATAAATTTATTATTTATCCCTAATTTGTTTTCCATACTTACCATAAAAATTATTTATCCTTGTTCCACCTATCAATCCCCTATCTTTATCCTCCCTTCTTATCCCTCTTATTTCCATTCCTCCAACCAAACGCCCCATTAGAAAAATAAAATTGTAATTGTAGTGTTTGTAGTAATATAAATATATGGTCAAAGATTGTGAATATTAATCTCAAAAATAATTTAAATTCAAAAAACACTCTAGTGAAGAAAACACCGTTAATACTCTAAATTGACTTAGTAAATACTCCATCATGTATAGCTTAAGTGATTAGAGTTCTCCTCCCGATTCCATGAAATCAAGGGATTAATTCTCATCACCTGTCTTGTGGCTCTCTAAACACCAAAAAAAAAAAAAAAAAAAAAAAAGGTTTACTTCTAACTTGCAATCAACTTAGTGGTACTACTCACTTCGTCCTTATTTGTTCATAAATTACGGAATACATAGTATAATACTTTTAGATACTGTAGCTTTTAGTAATCAAAATACTTTTAATCAACAAAAAAAAAAAAAAAAAAAAAAAGTTAAAATGAGAAGAATAATTAGAGACGGTGGAAGTAATTATAAGAAATGTTTAGAATACTCTAAAACAAAATCTCAACATACACAAGTTATTGTTGAAATTTATTTAGTTACTATTAATAACTATATACTAAAAGACACACCAGTAATGACATGTGTCATTTCATGGTGTATCTCTTGCTTCTTTTTAAAAAAAAATGTAAAAAATTTCCATATAAAAACATATTCTATACAGAAATAAAAGATTTTATGTGTCCTTATATATATTGCAAAGAATGCCAACTATAAACTTAAGTATAAAACAAAATTTCTTAATAACATAAATAAAATATTTGATGTGCCCTTCCACAATATATTGTATATAGTCAAATGCATATTTTAAAATATCTGTTTGACAAATAGGCTTTTTTTTATAATAAATTCATTAAGCTTCGTAATATTTATATAAATTTACTTATATAGTGTTAATGTAAAAATAATTATTAAAAATTCCGTGCATGACACGGGATCTAACCTAGTTATTAATTGATTAATTCATTGGGTTCCTTTGTCAATTTTTGTTGGGTTTGATAATTACATTAACTTCAGCTGACCGGAAGAAAAAGACATTGGGTCATGGGTTAGAATTTTGGGCTTTGAAGTCTGAAAATTTATGGGTTTGTTACACTTCTATAGTGGGCTAGTTATCCTACTTTATTACTCCGTACTACGTAAAAGTTTTGGTAAAAAGATAAATTTGACTCAATGTACCCGCCTATTTTTAAAATGTTGATTGTTAACAATATCTTTATTATTGTAACAATTAAAGATATCAATAATCGAAAGAATATATATTTCGTAACATGTGTAAGAAAGGAGCGTCTCGTCAAAAAAAAGGAGCGTGTCAACTAAAAACCACGGAAAAAAGTAGATATCCAAAGTTATGCATTGTAGTTTACAATATAAAGACACATAAAACAAATACAAGTAGAAAAGATGGAATATTATTAAGGAAATGTCAAGGGTACCTCAATAAATTTTCCTTAAAAAAAAAAAAAGAAAAAAAAAAAAGAAAAAGTACCTCAAAAAATGTGAATGAAAAATAAACAAAACTAAACTAGCTAATTGAGGCTCTTTAAAAATACAGATATAGTCCTCCCCTCGTATTCGTGAGTTTATACCACGTGAAATGGTAACATGTCTTGTCTTTAAATTTAAATCTAATATCATATCATATCATCTCACTAATAAATAAAGTCGGTCTTGCAGCTATGCCACGAGACAACGACATTTGGCATTCTAGTTTTTCGCCAAATGTTGAGCCACGTAAGCAACAAATATGTTTTATTGTGACACATATGATGATAAGTAAGCGAATTTTGGATAAATTTTGTAAGATAAAAATACTATATAGAGTTTTATTATCGATATACTTCTAATATTTTATATATACATAATTAATCATAACTTTTAATAAATATCTATAACTAGGTTCTATTTCCATCATAAAATTATTCATTTTAATTAAAAATTTCTTTAAAATAAGATCCATCTATATATTTTTCTGGTTCCTTATAGGGTTTTTCTTTGGGAGGGTTTTTCTGGTTCCCTTTAGGATTTCTCCCTTAATTAGGAGAGTTTTTCCAGCCTCCATTGCTAGATTTTTTCTGCTGTTTTTGAAGGTTTCCTTCACTCTTCTCCTTTTTTCTCTTTCTCTTTCTCTTTGATAACTTGCTATTTGATACGATTTTAGGGTGTTTTGAACCTAGTTTACTTGATATAAATTGCGTTTTGGTTCATTTTTACTCTATTATTATGCAATTTTTGTGTATCCTATGCTTCACGGGTTGTTGGTGTTTTTGTTGAGATTCTAGGTTCAAAAGAACGACCAAATGGAGCCCATGGATACAAAGCCGAGGTTAGAAGCAAGAAGATGGATGAAAGAAGCCAAGGAAAGGAGCATTATAGAAGAAAAGATGAAAAAAAGGGGTTTAGAAGACCCTGCACGGCCGTGCCAGACCTTGCACGTCCGTGCAGGAGGTTCCAGAAAGCTTCAGCAAGCTGCCAAGGCCTGCACGGCCGTGCTTAATCTGGCACGTCCGTGCAGAAGAGGGTGCACGGCCGTGCCAGACTTTGCACGTCCGTGCAGAAGTGCTCCAGAAACTCAGAACATTCTGCCAAGGCCTGCACGGACGTGCCAAATTAAGCACGTCCGTGCAGATGTAGCTGCACGTCCGTGCCAATATCTGCACGTCCGTGCGGAACTGCTCGATTCTTAGCAGTACGTTCTGCCTCATTTCTGCCCCCTCTGCACGTCCGTGCCAAACTTGGCACGGCCGTGCTTAGCCTTGCACGTCCGTGCCAAACTTGGCACGGCCGTGCTTAGCCTTGCACGTCCGTGCTAAATCTGGCACGTCCGTGCAGACCTGCAGTCGAACTCCTTCCTTGTTTTCTCCGTCCTTTTTATTTGGGGGTCATATAAATACCCCTTTAGAGCTCATTTGTACGGGGGAAGGCAGTTTTTCAGAGCTTTTCTCTTAGTTTGTAGTCTTAGAACATTAATTTCTCAAATCATTAGTTAGTTCTCAATTATTAGCTTGGAATTATTCAAATTCAATCATTGTAGAAGACAAAATCCACCATTGTTGCTCACCTTGAAGCTTCATAGTAACCATTTCTTACTCATCTTTTCTACTTCTCTTTACTTTGTTGTTAATTATTTGCTAGTTCTTGCATGTTTTGGATTGTTAATTAGCTTAATCCTTAGTTTGAATTTGTTCATGAATTGCTTGAAATCTTTAATTGCTTTAACCCCCATGGATTGTGAGTAGTCTAAATTCTAGGGTTTGGGCAAAACCCTCAATGTAGTCACTAATTACTTGTTGTATGTGCTAATTTGGTTGTTGTGGGATGTTAATTAGTTGAGCTTAAGTGGTTTAATTGCTTAGTTCTTGTATATGGCCATTGCTAGAACTATTTATCCAAGCTTTCTCAACGAAGGATCGAGAGATGAACTTGAGTTAGCTCCCTTATGCTTGATTGACCCGAAATGCCATGAAAATAGGGATTACCGGTCAAGGGAATGTTTATGTCATCGTGATTATGCTTTAACACTTGTTTTATGCTATGTAACCACGAGAGTAGGTCGTATTCATGATTCAAGTAATCCCTCTAGCTTGAGAGAGTAGTTGGGTGCTTTAGATGACTTCCCCTAATTTATCCCATTAATTTACCTTGATTGTTGCATGCTAATTGTGATTTGTGATGAAGTTGAGTGGTATAACCCAAGCCCTAGA